ATCATCATTATTATCATCGTGTATAATCATATCGTACGAATAATCGTTTCTCGCAAACCAACAAGTGTGTTTCTCGTTTCTACTTTGTTACGACTAACCCGTTTATCTCATATAACTTTCCGTTCGCGATACGGTACGGTACGGTACGGTACGATACGATACGGTACAGTACACGGTGTGGCCAATTCGATTCCGGGACATTCTCTTTCTCTGTCTCACACGAAATTTTTCATTCTCAATGTTATAATGTAAATTTTAACATTATCCGCAGCATCAATTTTCTCTCTTTCTTTTCTCATAAATACACACACACACACACACACACATACATACACATACACAGATGGAGTGGTAAGAAACGTTCTCTCTCTCTTTCCCTCTCTCTCTCTCTCTCTTGCCATCTCTCTCTCTCTCTCTTTCTCTCTGTCTCATTTATTAAAAATACCACAAGAGTTATAATTCACCAAACCAAATTTCTATATTACACCGTACAATATTTCTTGTTCATCTTTCAACTTATACAATAATTTCTTCATGTTTTAATCTTTTTAAATATTGGTCGTACATTTGGTGTGGTCAGATCGTGAGAATAAGTGTATGAATTTGGTTATTTTTATTTATTCATTGCTTATATTAAACATAAATACCAATAACTATAAACTTGGAATGTTGGTGAGTCAAGAAAATGGAAAAAGAAGAACGATTGAACATTACGATTTATTTAAAATAATATATTACAATTATTTATATTATTGTAAAATCAAAATCAGTATTATGACGAAAGAAACTTTTATTATTAATAAATATTTGAAAGAAAATTTGTAAAAGTACGAAAGAAAACGTATGAACTTTGTAGAAGAAGAATTCACAAGTGAAATATATTTTAAATTCTTGGTGATTTGAATGCTCGCATAAATAGGATGGAAAAATAAAATATCAATATATACTTTAATCTTATATACAGAAAATAATATTAATACATCATTAATATTATAAAATTAAATAATAAATTAATAAATAATATTTATATTGATAGATAAATCATCAAATAAATTATAATAATATTATTAACTTACATTAATACAAAATATCATAATTACGAATATAGAAAGGAAGTAAGGAATTAATAGAATTATCATTAAATGATAGTTAAATTAATTATATCATTTATAATAATATAAAATAGTATTTTATTAATTAAATATTTATTTTAAAATTATTTATATTATATATATATATTATTATAATAAATATTATAACATATATTATATATAATAGGTAATTAAAATATATCATTTATTGTATATATATATAAATAATAAAAAATAAATAATTTAATAATATTAATAATTAATTTTTATAATATTAAATTTATTTATATATTATTAATATTAATATTAAATTTAATATTATATAGTATATATTAAAAAAATAATTTATCCACGTGATAATAATAATTATTATGACAAATAGAAGAAAAAAAAGAAAAAGAAAAACAATAAAGGGTAGTAAAAAGGAATCGTTAGATTTATCGTTAGATTTATCGTTAGATGGTAGACAACAAACGTTCGGGAGGATTCTCGATAGACATGATGATAGTAAGAGCAATACTATTGGAGAACAACAGTGACTATCGAGTAAAGAGAGAACTGCCTTTTAGGGCAGTTAAACGCACGACGACGCCTCACCTCGTCCTCGGTCTTGTCTCGTCTCTTCTCTTTTCATCTTCTCATCTCATCTCTCTTCTTTGGTTCTTCTCTTCTCATCTCTTCTCTTCTCTTCTCATGTTGACTAGCCTCGGCTTGGTGGATCGGTTCAGATCGCTGTGCTCATCGCACTCTTCTTCTTCCCCTACTCGTCCCTTCTCGTCCCTTCCCATCCTGTCGTTTCTCTCTTTCTCTTTCTGTCTCTCTTTTTCTCTCTCTCTTTCTCTCTCTCACTTGTGCCGACCCCGATCCTTCTCAGAACGCGCGCAGGAGACTACACCGGGTTTTTAGCGCGATCTTGAAAACGGAAAATGTCTCTTTTTTCGCTGTCCACGATCCAATGCCAAGGCTCAAGGCTCACCACGGCTCAGGAGATCTTCAGGCAGTTTAATCCTCCTTTATGTTTGTTACATTCAACTATTTACAATGTTACATTTTTCATTTTTACTAATAACATTTTATCAATATTTCTTATACTAAGGTGTACACGTTTAAATTAAGTCCGATAATAAATAATATTAAACGTTATCATTTCTACTAAACTTCATTACTTTATTTTATTATTATTTATTTGTCAAAGATAAGATTCAGATTCAACAACAAAAAATCAAGAGAAAAAAAGACCCCCCAAGAAAATTGATCACACTTGAAAGCAATTTGTCAGAGATTATCCGAAGATAATTTGTCTTGTCTGGATAGATGTGAACAGTGTATTCCCATTCGAAGAAGAATACGAGGAAACAGAAAAGCTGATTGGGTAGGGGGGAAAGTGCATTCATGTAGGTAAGAAAAGGATGTGGGGGAGAAAGAAGAAAAGAAGAAGAAGACGAAAGAGGAGGAGGAGGAGGATGAAATGGTGCGATAGCGGTAGAGACAAGAGAAAAGGAGAGAGGGATCAAGAAAGTAAAAGAAAGAAAGAGAAAGAAGTAAGTATAGTAGAAGGGAGGGAGGTGGAAAATGCGCCCGGCTACGAAAGGGGCCTGGGCAAGGGGCCAACGATCGAGAATGACCAACCAACGGCGGCGATGTGTGTTCGATGATGATCCTGATATACTAATTTTTCGAATGTCCTTCTTGTGTAGAAAGAAAGAAAGAGAGAGACAAGATCAAATACTCGGTTGCTGGTAGGGCTAAGTTTTTCAGAGGGTAGAAGACATCGAACTAACTATCAAAGAGTTTTCATTTCTAACGTATCATTCAGAGAAGAAACATCATAGATCATTCTCAGATCATTCACAGATCATTCTCAGTCAGTATTTTGATAATAATGAGTAGATTTTCAATAAAATAACAATAGTAAATTGTTATAAAATGTAATCTTGTCAAGAATCCCTGATCGTAAAATGTTGTAACAAAATCTAGGACCACACTATGGGGGTATAAGAGAATAAGAGCAAGAGAAAAAAAGAATTGGCAAATAAGTTGGAAAAAGTTAGTGGCTAAGGGTCTCTTGTTCGGTCAAAAGCGAAAAAGCTTAATTAAAGGGCCAGGACTTGGTAGGTAGGTAGGTAGGTAGGTTGGTAGAGAAGACGGCGAATTGCAACGGGACGTCCGGCACGATGCAACGGACAAGGGGAAAGGTGGGCCAAGGAAGAAGGGGTCGAGAGGAAGAAGAAGAAGAAGGAGAAGGAGGAGGAGGTAGACGCATTCCAGGAGGAGACCGCGAGCGGACTTTGAATCACGACGAAAAGTCTGGGCCGATTACTCGGGGCGTTCGATTTCCAAGGGATTCGGAGAATCCTGTCGAAGAAGGTTGGTTGGCCAGTGGCGGCAGAGCCGGTGGCGGTGACGGTGACGGTGACGGTGACGATGGTGGTGGCGACGGCGGCCAAGTTTTCGGTAAATGTGTCGAAGCCCGTTCGAAGTACAGCGAGTCCAGCAGTGTCGTTGGCCTCTCTCTCTCTCTTCCTTGCTGCTGGTTCTGGTGCTGGTGCTGGTGATGTTGGTTCTTCGTTGCTAGCGGGCTGTTCGCCCTGGCCGTTACCAACACCACCGTCACCACCACTGCCACTTACACCATTCTCCTCTTCTTCTTCTCCTTCTCCTTTGAATTTGTCTCTTTCTATGCATCTCGTTTTCTTTCTCTTTCTTTCTGCAAAGGACGGATGCGTATACGGTGAGAACGGTGTAGTGGTTGCCGCCACTGGTTGCCGTAGCAGCGGTCCGCCACTGGCTGCCTCCAACGGCACGGAGAATCCGAGGCTGCCGAAGCCTATCCCTGTCCCCTCCTGCCCAGAGAGAAGCCATCCTCTTATTCCCACTCCTCCTACGGAGCACCTGTCGTGCCAGGGAGTTCTGCGCGTTAGGGGCGCTCGCCGGAGGTAAGTAGACGGCAGGTTATCAGTCGACAGAACATCTTCGTCGCGAACGGAACGGAACCGTGAACCGTGAACCGGCGTGCTTGCGCATTCTAACGCGCTTAACAAGACCTATACCTATATACTGAATTATATACATATATATATATATATTTAAAAAAACGAAAAATTATAAAATCATTTTTTTAACGTTTTTTTTCCTGTTACAGCTGTATATAGAATATTTTCATTAAAAAAAAAAAAAAGAAAAAACTGATAAAACATTAGGGTCGTGTCAATTCCCGCGTTCAACGGGATATAAACTTTAACAAGTGTTTATTATTCTCTTTTTTCTTATTATTATTATAATTATTATTATTATTATTAATATTATTATTATTAGATATCGGTTTGAAATCTTTCACATTTGAGAATCGTATGCGCAAGAAAAAGACGCGAACTATAATAAATTTGTCTGTGAGTTTGCGCGATGGTCGCGACCGCGCCAAGGTAAACGCCGACAAGGAGGTCACGGCACCGGTGAATTTGTGTTAAGTGACTTATTCAAAAACTATCGTTAAATAGACAAATAAAAGACGACTGCTATTAGTAAGATTACGATTACAATTACGACAATCTAATAATTATTACGAAGAATTTTGATTTAATTGAAAAATTTAGACGAGAGTGTTCGATAAAATAAAGTGTTAGATATATCGAACTTTGATTTATACTAAACGAGAACAAAAAATCATCTTTACTAAGTTTCTCGAGTTGCTGTGACACGCGAGAAGAGATCGAGAGTTTTTTGTTTTTTTTTTTGTTTTTGTTTTACATTCGACCTGAAAATATAAAAAGAGAACTAAAAAAAAAGAAAGAAAGAAAAAACAGGAAAAGAAAAAGACAGAGAGAAAGAGAGAGAGAGAGAGAGAGAGACAGACAGACACGAGAGTAAGGACGAAAGCACGCAAAGCGATAAGGAGATAAAAGGTGTCTGCCGGGATGCGGCACGAGGAACCGTTCGGCTCCAGCTAACACGTGGTGACGATCCACACACTCCAAGATCGCGAGGTAAATTCTTTCATCATTTCAATGGGTCTCCATACCTAATAATTATATGATAAATGAGAATGTTATGACTCACCTCAAAATTGGTCTCAGAATTTTTCCTTTAAATCTAATATCATTTTTTGTTTCTTTAACCCTTTGAGTGCTATGAACGCATATATGCGTTTGATTAAAATTACTAGAGTAGTTGTTCGACGCATATAAGTATTTAATTAATATTAATGTAAAATAATGTAACTCGTTTATATTTATTCAATTAAATTACATTCACAAATTAAAACTTCAATTATTAAATATAATTTATTAATAATAAATTATTCTGTTCCTATAAAAGATTTTAGGTAAAAGTATTTAGCATTGAAAGGGTTAATAATTATCTAGCTATCGTACAAAAAATTTATGATATAAATATATCATATTTATTATACAAATTTATTATATTTATTATAATTTATTCTTTTATAGAAAAGTTTTATTTTGAATTCGTAAATTGTAATTTGTCAGATTATCAATTTTTACGTTCGTAATACTCACAATCAAAGTATCTTAATAATTAATATTATTAAAGTAGTACAGGATTGTATTAGTTTGAAATGATTAATCGATAAATGTTGTATTGTTCTCATTAAGAATCGAGGACAATTTGAATGAGAAACCAATGAACCCGATAAAGTCATATATTTCTCATTTAAACATTGCCGAACAATTTTAATGGTAACAATTATTAATCGATATAATCGTTCTCCGACTAATTAACTCTCTCATACAAGTGTAAAATTTGTAATCATCCGATGGATAAAAATCTTTACGGATTTATAGGACACATACATGCACGAATATACACGTATATGCACGTGTATGAAGGTATATCGAATTGAACGCGGCTTTTCAAACGGATTTAACTAATGTATATATATTTATTCAGCAGATGTTTGTTCAACGTATCCGATATCGTTTAACGAATCAAAGTATCCATATAGTCCATGGAATGCGAATACATATACATGTATATATACATATACATACCTACATAGGTGTCCTCATTTTCCACGGCTCGTTTACCTGAATTTTCACAATAAATCGATACCAACGTGTTAGAAAATTTAATATCTTTCAAACAAACTCAATGAAACCTGATTATAATATTATTCCATTTAATCGATTGGATACTATCCAATATAATCGACAAATAAGAAAAAAAAATATTACGTTTACGGATATAATGAAAATGAAAATGAAAATATTTATTTTAATGTTATACTTAACATAATATAAGAATGAACCCTTAAAAGTTCGTGCTTTTATTGTATTGTTTCAAAGAGTTCAATTTTTGTTTCAGAATTTAAACAAAATTACTTTTATACTCGAGTGAAATATTAATAATTAAAAAAAAAGAATTCACAAAACTTTTGATCGAAATCTAATACCTTACTTAACCCATTACTCGCCAATGATATTTTTTTTGGGGGGACGTATTTTTAAATTGTTTGTTTTTAATAACTGCAATTTCAAAATGAAATGATATTTGTTAAAATCACGATACCTCGTGTTTCATGAAAATATTACAAAATTCTTACTATTTTATTTTAAATTGATAATATTAATGACATATATATATATATGAATAATTGTTATATACAAACTTCATATTATAGAGAAACTTTATATAATTAATTATTATATTATATATATAAAATAATATAGAAGATAATATTAGAATTAATAAATATAAATTAAATAATATAATTTAAATAATATTATTATAATAATTATTATAACTATATTTATAAATATAATTTATAAATATATATTAATAATAATATCTATGAGATATATATCAAATTTGTGTATATTATATTTTGTAAACGCGATAAACAACTAATTGAACAATTTTTATATTTAAATAAAAACAAACAGAAACAATTGTTACAAAAATAATTTTATTTGGTTAGTATCATTGTACATATCATTATACAGTAATTTTAATTTACTTTTTCTTATTGTGTGGCGAATAATGGATTTAAACAAAAAGTATATTTGTACATCGCGATTCAATTGATGAATTAAGTCAAATAAAAAATAGTTCAAATCGTTGATTAGAAAAAGTAACTTAAGGACTCATAAGTTCTACCTAGGTGAATGGTATATATATGTCCGCTTGGCAATGTTAACGCGTGCGGATTGAACGAAACGCGGCGAGACATCCAGGCGGATAAGGTTCTCTTACGAGTAAATTCGAAAGTGGGGAGGGAATGTGGTTGGTCGGGAGGCAAGGAGGCCCTCACCAAATTTTCGTGCCGCCGTGATCTCTCGGCGCAATGTGCCTGGGTTCTCCACGTGCTTCGGGACCAATTCTTTCTCTCTCTATCTCTCTCTCTCTCTTTCTCTCTCTTGCACTCATCTTCGATCTACCAATCCTCCTTTTACCTCCACCTTCTCCTCCTCCTCTTCTCATCGACCTCCTCATTCCCTCTCGTACGAATAGAGGCCCCATTCCCGCGGGCCTTACAACAACCTCTTCTCTTCTTCTTCTTCTTCTTCTTCTTCTTCTTCACCATTCTCTCTTTCTCTCTCTCTCTCTCTCTCTTTCTCTCTGGTTCTTTCTGTCTGTCTGCCTGTCTATCTCTTTTACTCCAATGGTTTCTCCCTGAACGCTTCGGAACCAAGTCGAGCACCCAACCACCGCTTTGCTGAGCCAACTGAGACGAGAAGTTAGCGAGCTCATTCCGGTTAGCGGGTTCAAGAAACGGCTTGCTCTTTGCTCCCGTGTCGTGGGTCCGACGACAGTAGATCGATTCGTTTCTAAATAATGTAAAGTTACACACATACCAGGTAATCCTCCTATATTATGTGTGTTTAAACTTTTAACGTTATACTCTCTCTCTCTCTCTCTTTCTCTGTTAACTTTTTTATGTTATATGTTATAATTATTATTTCGAATGAATATTATATTAAAATGAAATAGTTCCTTTTAAACACAATTACAATTGAATTATATTTAAAATCAGTATAAGAATAATATTCGCGATATGTAAGATTACATATGTAATAATTAAATAAATAAATAAAATAAATAAATAAATATATAATAAGTTAAACGTTTTTATAAATTATATGTTAAAATTAATAATTCAAATAAATATTATATATTAGAATAAAATAATTCCTTTTAAACGACTATCATTGAATTATATTTAAAAACAATATAAGAATTCGCGATATGTAAGATTACATATATATATATAATAATTAAATAAATAAATAATAAATAAATAAATAAAATAAATATATAATAAGTTAAACAATTTTAAAAGTTATTATATATTAAAATTATTATTTTAAATAAATATTATATTAAAATAAAATAATTGCTTTTAAACGACTATCATTGAATTATATTTAAAAACAATATAAAAATAATAATTATTCGCTATATGTAAGATTACAAATATATATAATATAAAAAATTAAATAATAAATAAATAAATATTTAATAAATTAAACGTTTTTTTTTCTTTAAGTTATATATTAAAATCATTAATTCAAATAAATATTATATCAGAATAAAATAATGTCTTTTGAAACGCGACTATACATTTTGAATGATATTTCAAATCAATATATTAATAATAATTACTCAATATAGAAATTATTACATCGTGTTTGAGATTCCTAATGGTAATAAATGTCTATGTTCATTTCAAAATACTTTTATTAAACATTGCCACCACGCGCGTTATTCGAATACTTTTACTTCGTTCGATAGAAAAAGAAAAAGAAGAAAAAAAGTCAAAGAATCTAATAGGTAATAAATGTCAATAATAATATATCCATGTATATGCCTCTACCCATATGTGTGTGTGTGTGTGTGTGATCGTGCGTTAGAAAATATGATAATTTATTCTGAAAAATTAGAAATCTTATTGACCGTGAAAATGACGAATATTTGTTTTACGAATGAAACTTTTTATATATCATCAATCTGATATTTATTTATGACTCTAATCACGAATTTATTATCAAAATACTTTCAAATATAATAATATACAAAAAAAAAAAAAAAAAATATCGTCCGATTAATAATCCTTACGAAAGAAAAAAAGAATAAAATTAATCTTCGAAAAATAGATGAGAAGCCTAAAAACGATTTTTCAATTCACGTTTGAAATAAGATTAGAATAATATTAGGTCTATCAGAAAGTTCTGTTTATTCTGACAAACGCCGGTTCAATTTTTCCTCTTTAGGAATAACATTTTTTTGTTGTAAAAATGCAATATACAAATTGTCATTAAAAAATGTAATATAAAATTATAAATAAGGATAATTGATAAATATTAATCAATTAAAAGAGATATACAAATTTATTACTTTTGTTTTATCCTAACAAACAAAACTTTCCGGTAGACCTAATATCCATCCATCTCCACCATGATACCCAAGGGAAAGGGGATGGTACTTAGTTTTGTATTTTCGCAGTGATAAAAGAAATCAATGGATATTTTTTTTTTTTAATTTTTTTTTTGAAAATTTACATCGAAATAAAACGAGGAACGCGTTCGTTTGTCGTCGTCATCCATGTCGTTTCACCCGACAGATATCAGAAGAGAGGAAGAAGAAGAAGAAGAAGAAGAACGGGGAGGTAGAAACGAAAGGGGTAGGGGTACGGGGGGTAGGAAGTGGGGGTAGAAGGAGTACGCTAACGGTTTTCGAACAGGTGTCATCTCCTTTTTCCGCGCTTCATGAAATATTCACCAGGCATACGATTACGTTAGTAGCTGCGCACTAATCCGTGTGCTTCGTCTTCTTATTCGTCTTCTTCTTCGTTTCTTCGTAGTAGTCGTATGGTCGAAGGGCATTCAACCTCAGCAATGTGCTGGTGGTGCTGCGTGTGTTGTCTCAATGTGAGATCACGCCCGACATAACTTTGCATTTGCTATTTCTATCTCTGTTTCTCTTTCTCTATCTTTATTTTTACTTTTTCTGTCTAAACCCTCTACCCCCC